GGGGCGCGCTAGCTTCGCGTCTCCCTAGTCTGCTGGGGGGAAGCAGCTAGTGCGGGGTTGCCTCACCCTGTTTGTAAGTAGGGAGCCGATGTAAGTCGGATTCATGTAACCCGGGGACTGCCTGTATACAAGGCAGACAGAAGGTAGAGTATGTAGCCCTTTGATACCTCCCATGACCATAGCTGCGAAGTGCTGAAAAGGTGTGTTACAGCTGCATTGCAAGGTCTGTAATGGACTTCAGGGCCCAACTTCGCCCACACACACAGTGCACAAGATGGGACTGTCTAGTCCTCAGGTGAAACTAAACACTACTTGTTTTGCCAAAAACCAGCTGTGTAGTCTTGAACAAATCACTTAAGGCCTAATGTTAAGAGTGGCTGAAGGGCAATTACATGCGCTCCGCACTTCTAAACCCAGCCCTTAGCCTCTCTGTGCCAAATAAAAATCCCCTCGATCTACCAGTGAGGATTTATTTTTTAAAATGCACCCTGAGGCTTATCACCTCTACCCGTGGGTGCCTGATGGTGCTGAAAGCAGCTAGGAACTGTTAAATATGGCCTTCCCACTAGCTGCATGAAATGTTCTGTACTGCACGCATGCAAAGTGCTATCCTCCGCCTAAAGTGGACATCCAAGCGAACACACAAGCTACCACTGACCTCTCAGTGTGGGTAAAAGCTGTAGCACAACAAAGACCTTTCAGTTCTCCACAGGGGCGTCTTTTTCCTTCGCCTGCTCTTGCCTTCAATGAGATGCAGGAACGAGAAGAACTGAAAAAGAAGGAAGACAACCTTCAGCAATAAATAATTCCCTTCCCCTATATTAAAAATCAAATAGCACACATCTCTATCAAATCCTTATTCTGCGTCTGCTCACAACATGTGGGAGGATGCAGGGGGAGAGCTGTACAGGCACTTGTGTGACTTGGGGAAGGAAAAGAGGGAGTACCCTGTTGCAGCCCTGGGAGGAGGTATGATGGTAGCGCTCTAGTGCTAGAAGTTGCCTGAAAGGGGCAGCCAATCAATTGGTGTCTGTAACATCATGTAAGCCCAGTTATTTCTGTCAAGTCTGCCTCAACCACAGCATGGGCACATGCTGACAACACAAAGGCACCTCGAAGGGGGTGGAAGTAGCTCCCTGAGAAAGCCCATGGAGAATGTGCAGTGTGCAGGAAGCCAGTGTAAAGCTGGCAGAAGAGCTCTAAGCCCCTGGCATAGGAGGCAAGTCGGGATTGGGCTGAGGGTATGAAGTGGCTGGAAGTACCAAGCAGGGCTGGGAATGGGACATGGCCAGTAGTTCTCTCCAGATATTCACCAACGGAGCCCCAGGAAGCAATAGAGATAGATCAGTTCTGAGGCCCAGGAAGGGCCCGCTGCTGCCCCAGAACATGCATCCCTCATGTTAAGCACCTTTTCCCAGCCCCCATCCCGTACCGAGCATAGGAGCTGGGCAAATAGGGTACAGGTGGCATGCCAGTCTCTGCCCAAACACTCGTCATCAGCGAGTGAGATTATCTGACTAACAGCAGCCCAGTGGAATTGCTGCGCCAGGTCTGGCTCTGAGCTCCCCTGCATGTCTAGGTTTTTATTTGCTGCTCAGCACTAGAGTGTCTCTGGGCTGAAAGGGCCTCACACACATGACATAAGCCCAAGCTGTGCTGCCTGGACATTGCACACCAGCGTGATTTACCAGCCACTGCCTCCCAACCCGCCTAAGGCCTCTTCCCCCAACTGTGACCTGGCCCGCCTCTCTACAGAAACCAAACCTACAGAAAGGATCTTGTTCTCCATTGACTATTATAGGGTTTTGAAAAGTCTCAGAGGGGTAGCCGGGTCAGTCTGTATCTGCAAAAGCAGCGAGGAGTCCTGTGGCACCTTAAAGATCATTTGGGCATAAGCTTTCATGGCTCAAAACCACTTTGTCAGATGCTTTTGAGAACAATTTCTATACAACCCCATTCTATTTCCATAAACCTCTCCTGGTGTCTTCTTTATGGAACCCTACTAGACTTTTATAAGGGTTGCTGGAGAGTCAAATGGGCATCCAACTCCAACTTTTCTCTCTTTCGATTTGTTTGCTGTTTGAAGAGGAGGAAACCAGGAGGAGTTTAAAGGACTGCTCTCTATTCTCCTGGAGAGCACTTCATGCAGGGACATGAAGTCTCCACAAGGCTTCTTCTTTACACAAGAACTAAGAATGGTTACAATTAATTACAGCTTAAATCAGGTGCAGCCCTGGGCCTCACGATAGGCTGCATTTGGCAAGGCGTGAAAGGCAGAATTCACCTAAAGCCACTGACTTTGCAAACCAGGACCCCGCACTGTGCTAGACATGGTACAAAACATGGAATAAAAAAAGTCCCCACCCCCTCATGATCAGTCTCCCTCTCTCTCCAAAGCAACATTAATGTATCATACTACAGTTTCTACCCCTTCCCTCCTCCCCCGCCATGCCCTTTAGCTGCTTGCAGAGATACAGCTGAGGAACTGGAATTCCTACTTGTAAGCAGTTTGCACACATCCCCCTCAGCAAAAACACTGCCCTGGCTGCTGCAAAATAAAGGAGAGCAGAAATACTGCACAGTGCAAACAGCTGAGCTGACTTGTTTCTACTCCCACTATTTACCTTCCCCACTAGGGATGCAATGATGTAGTCAATTAACTGATTAATCGATAAGCAAAAGCTTACTGGTTAATGCTATAGACTACAGGCAGTCCCCAGGTTACATGGATCCAACTTACATCGGATCCCTACTTACAAACGGGGTGAGGCAACCCCACACTAGCTGCTTCCCCCCAGCAGACCAGGGAGACGTGAAGCTAGCGCCCCCCCCCAGCCAACAAGGGAGACAAGGAGCGGCTTTTCTCAGCAGACACCTCAGCTTGAGAATAAAGGACTGAGGGAAGTGAGGTGTAGGAGAATAAAACTGAGCTCTGGAGAAATGTTTGGCTAGAGTTTCCCCTACAATATGTACCAGTTCCGACTTACATACAAATTCAACTTAAGAACAAACCTACAGTCCCTATCTTGTACATAACCCGGGGACTGCCTGTACATGCATTCCTCCCCCCCCCCCCCCGGTACATTTTTTAGCAGGCTGGCCAGCAGCCTGGCTCAATCCCGGCTTGTGCTGGGTCAGGGAGCTCAGGCCTTCCCCTCTGCCCCCGGACAGGGGCTGCTGCCACTCCATGCTGCTGCCCCTGTATCAGAGGCAGCATCACAGGGCAACAGGCAGCTGGTTCGTGCGGGGAACTGTTTTTTAAACTGGCGAACCAGCTCCCACCTAGCATCCCATGCGCAGCACAGGGTGGCAAGGGCTCCTCAGGAGTGGGGCCGGAATGCACTGGCTGCCAGCCCTGCCTCCCGGGAGACTATGGAATAGTCAAATAATCGATAAGAATTCATGAGGTTAATCGACTATTCAATTAGCCGATATTTAACATCCCTATTCCCCACCTCACTGTTTACGTCTGTCATCTTTAAAGTCACACTCCGAGATGCAAAACTAACGGGAGACAAGTGAATCTGGGGGCTCCTTCAAAGAGCTGGGCAATGCAGAGACACTGAGGATTCCACATGCAGGATTTTTTTCTGTCCTACTGGCAATGCAGCTAAGGATGTGGATGGAGCTTTGGCACTGATTTACCCTTGCAAAAGTGGTGCGATCCAGCAGCCTAAGAACAGGATCAGGACCCACTGCGTTCTACTCCCAGCTGTGACCGTAACTCACTTTGTGGCTTGGGGCAAGTCACTTCACTTCCTTGATCTTCATTAATACTTACCAACTTGCCTGGCTAGGGCTTTAGAAGGATTAATGTTATTGCTATAAAGGTTAAATGTTACCAAAAGCATTCCCACAACTCCAGGTCCTCAGCCAGTTTTTACCCAGGCAGATGCTCCTTGAAGCTACTAGGAGTTTCCAAGGGCCCACAGTACTTGGCCTGCAGGAAGTAGGGATGTCAGGAAGTGTGTAATCCAGGAACCGTATAGTTGAGAAAAAATGTTGTTAGTTGCATGATTAACTGCTGCAGCTCTGCACTGAAAGGAGCTTGGGAGCCGGTGTGCAATCAGGCTGGCTCAGTCCTGGCTCACACCAGGTCCTGACAGCTACCCCCACTGCAGCTCTGTATATAAAGCATTTGCCCCTCTCCCCACCCTGCTGCTGCTTCTTAATGATGCTGAGTGACTGAGCACACCCCTGTCTGCTTTCTCTTCTTCCCTGAGGTACAGCTGCCGGCCCCAAAGCCCAGCACTGCAATCATGGGCTCTGATTTCCTAGGATTTGCCCTTAGGTCAAGTTCAGCTAGATTCAGAGTCATTACGTGTATACACAGGTCTCCCACCACATCTTTCCCCTTCTGGCAGCACTCGCTGGCTCATACATTTAACTGAGGCCAGGCGGTGAAGCAACTCTCAACCAAATGCCAGTCTTGCTCTCTCGTGAAACAGTGGGCCTGAACTCCTCAGGTGCTGAAGCTATCACAGTGCTGCTTACACCCCTCTTCTCCTTGCAAAGAGACAATCCAGGATACAAAATGTACGGAGAGTCAAACTACCAATGCCTCGCAGGCTGGTGGCAAGCAGGAGGGCGATCAGACCTGTATCTATCTGAGACAAGGAAGCTTCTCAAAGGGTAGATATACGAACAGACAAGGAGCTGAATGCCTCCCCTGCTTCTGGCTCCACTTTGTTTTTTGACTGGAAGCACAATCTGTGGATTTGGTATTAGATGGAGACTCAAATACCTGGGTTCTCTTCCTGTCTCCTGCCATGAGGCTCTGTGTGATTTCATGCCTATCAGCTCACTGCTCTATACCTCCCACCTTGCCTCTGCTTTATCTGTTTAGACTGCAAGGCCTTTGAGACAGAGAAAAGCTTTCAAATATTTGTGCAGCACCCAACACATTAGGCCCCGATTTTGGTTGGAGACATCTAGGAGCTACTGTAATACAACTAATAATCACAATAAGATGCCAATAGATTCCCTGGTCTCAAGGGCTCGCCGTACTTTTCCCACTGGCTTCAAACCGGCAGACACTGATCACAGGAAAAATGAAAGAAGCACAGAAGTTACTTTCAGCCACTGGGAAACATTCTCTTAGCAAGCCTTTGCAGGTCCAACTGACCTAATTCCTGCCAACAGGCGCCCAGTTTTCAATAGGAATACATGGTCGAAATCGGAACACGGCTGCTTCAGTCAGCACTACTGGTCAGGCTGTTAAAAGCCTGGTTGGCAGCACACAGAAGAGGCCTGGGGCTATGGCAGGTTCCCTACGTGCCTTGGGTCTGTGCGGCTCCTGGAAGCAACTGCCAGGTTCCTGCGGGAACCGCAAGCTGAGTGCCAGCTCCACCCCGCAGCTCCCATTGGCTGGGAACCACGACCAATGGGAGTGATGCCTGCAGGCCCGAGAGCAGCATGCAGCACCTTCCTGGATGCCCTCCTCCCCACTCAAGTGCAGCAGGGACCTGACAGCTGCTTCCTGGGAGCTGTGGTAAGTACCATTGGGACCCAGTATCACAAACTCCTAGCCCCAGCCTGGATTCCCCTCCCTCTTGAAGCCCATACCCTGTAACCTCCCCCCCACACATACACACGCACCCCATACTCTTGCTCCAGTCATGAGCCATCCCTATACTCCAAACCCCACATCCCAGAGCCCCAGCTGGAGCCCTCACACATACTCTGAACCCCCCATTTCTGCCCCCTTCCTGAGCCCACACCTGCCTCTGCAACCCAACCCCTTGCCCCAGCCAGGTGAAAGTGAGTAAG